TGAATTAAATTTATTTGGCAAACTAAAGAATACTTTCAACACGTAAAAGATCAGTCGTGTTCTAAAATTAAAACAAATACTGCACTTAATAAAAATAATCATATTTTGTTGTTATTTTTTTTAACTTTCAGTATACATATAAACCTATCACAATGTCTTTTGTACACATACTGTAGCTTACTTTAGTGAATTGCCAAAAAAGTCCAAATACATTGTCCAAATACGAAAATTAAAACCGAGTCACTGCATAGCAACTCCCCGTGTGTCTGAAGTGACGTAACATACAAAATAACATGTCTTGAAGGAGACGTGATCAAGGCGTGTGATTAATAGAGCTTTCTAAGCAACAGCGCATAGTTCGTTAATCTGGAAAACTTGCACGAAACCTTATCCTAAAGATAATCTTTGTAATGAACTAGACGAGTTTTCCATTCTGTAGAATGAAATAAAAACAGTCGATACTGTGGATTGACCTTTACAAAAACCTAAATGAGTCCCAATAGGAGCTAGCCATTGTATCATGTTTGTCGGCTTTAACGTTAATAAATCATCGGACAGACTACATATAATACCGTAAGGATGACTAAATCATGTTCTTCGTTAGTGAATGACAAAAAGCAATACCAATTACCAAATAAATTATTGAGGATATCCAAGCTATGTATGATGGTCATGGATCTGCCAGGGTAACACTCTCATTTTAAGTCCATTGAGGGTACATTGTAGTTTATATTCACACAGGTAAATTGCTATTGTTTACATACCTAGTAATACAGAATAATACATATATTGCTAACAACAGATTATGTTGTTGTTAAAAAGTCAAAGGCTACTTTTTTTTTATATGACAGACCAATACACAGAAAAAGGAAATCTTTGTCGTTTAAAAAATGTTGACTTGTTCATTAACTTCATTCTCTTAAATGGTTAACATAAACTATAGGTAAGTGTTTTAGGGATTATTTGACATGTTAATTCCGGAATTGTTCAAATATGTAACTAACTTTTGTAGTACCCCCTGCTGCAGCAGCAACAATTGATAAAGAAGTAGGAACAGCATTCCAATACACATTTTCGATTAAAACTGAGTTTTAAATCGGATTACTATCATTAAATAATGATAACCTTCAATTGTTTCTTAACACAAAACTGCTACAATCTCATGGAAACAAATAATGATATTTAATATCCTATGTTATTTCTGTGTTCAGAGTATTCCCAGGTAAAGGAAAAATAGCAATGACATACACTTGGCTAATTCTTCGGAGACGAATTTTCTTTATTGATTCCACTCTTAAACAGTATCAGATCCTATGCTTAAGCTACTTCCATCGGACTGATTTAACAAAAGTTACAACAGCAAGGCTGTTAATTCAGTTCGTGATCATTTTATCTTTCTTTGATATATTCTAAATAACGTTAGAAGGATTGGCTTGGCCGCATTAAGTGCTGATTAGTGTTGCTTTTATAATGTCATTTTTTAAAATTTTAGATCCTAGAACGACAAGGTTAAAAATAATCCTTTTGTTTACAATGCAGGGAGAATTAAAGAATGGAACAATTAAGATGAAAAAATGTAAATTCGGACACTACAAACAAATGTATTTACATTACTAAAGACGTGGCATATGCCCGTCTGGCAACGAAATCAAGACTTAGTGAAACCAGCAACCCCTGCCCCCTCCCTTTGAGCACCATTTCTTTCAGAATTTAACAAAGATCAGCAACATTCAAATACGGACACAGTACGAAATATCCATCTTCTATCAACGTACATTTTATTATAATTGATATTCATTCTCACAAAAGAGAACGATGTATATAGTCATATTCAATGACGTCACATAGACAAGTCGTTTTAATTGTATGAATATATCGTAAATGACGTTTACTGAACTGTCTGTCCACCCTTATTGTCATCTAAATCGCACGAGTCGTAGCCAGCATTTTTGTGTCCCCTTTGTCGAAAAGATGACTTACGAACATCTAAATATATAATGATTTTTTGGTAGTAACAATGAATCAATTTTAAGGTTACAGGGTGTAGTATAAACTAACAGCTATTTGCTGCAAGCTTTTAGAACATGTCTTAACCAGTAACATTAGGAAACATTTAGATCTGAATAATATTTTAAATGATTGCCAACATGGCTTTAGAAGCAAACGTTCTTGTGAAGCTCAACTTGTTATAAGTATTCAATATAGCCAAATCTATGGCAGAAGGGAATCAAGTTGATGCAATTCTTTTAGATTTTTCTAAAGCATTTGATAAGGTCCCCCATGAAAGATTAATAACAAAACTTAACTATTATGGCATAAGGGAAAATAATTTACTTTGGATAAGAGACTTTTTATCAAACAGGCAACAGCAAGTCCTGCTCAACGGTGTTCAATCTTCAAAATTAGCTGTTGCTTCTGGTGTTCCTCAGGGCACAGTTTTAGGCCCAACTTTATTTTTGTTATTTATAAACGACCTACCTGAGCATGTCTCCTGTAAGGTTCGTCTTTTTGCTGACGACTGTTTACTATATAAAACATCTAATAATATAAATGAGTCTCAAGCACTCCAAAAAGATCTATCAAATCTTGAAAATTGGGAATCTGAATGGCAGATGAAATTTAACCCTGAAAAATGCTATGTCATAAATATTTCTAAAAAGTCCAAACCTAACTTATTTCAATACAAGAGGCCCAAGAGGGCCTGTATCGCTCACCTGAATATTTAAGCAGTCATAGCAAAATATTCTCATTAAATATTATATTGCACTAAAAATATTTCCCTCGCAAACTTTGTTGGCTCCATCTGTTGAAACTACCAGCAAAATATTATTATAAGATTCTATGCTTTTTGATTCTTCTTCAGAAGTTGCTTGACATATTTTTCCCTGTGATCTTGTAAGTAGGTCAATGTCATTTTCCTTCTCAAATTGGTTAGCTCTATTCCAAAAAGCTACCAGCCAAATCTTATGAATCCATTCCTTTTAGTTCTCAAGAACAAATCCATTAAAATGTTGTTGACCTCTGTGACCTCTAAAGTAGGTTGAGGTCATTTTCATTTGCAAACTTTGGTGAGCTCTATCCCGGGAAGTCACCAGCCAAATATTATAATTTTATGCCTTTTAATTCTTCAGAAGAAGCTGTTTGAACTGTTTGACATATTTGAACGCTGTGACCTTGAAAGTAGGTCAAGGTCATTTTCATTCGCAAACTTTGTTTGGCTCTTTCCCAGGAAGCCACCTGCCAAATATTAAGATTTTATAACTACCAGTTCTTCAGAAGAAGTCGTTTAAAGTGTTTGACATATCTGCCTCATGTGACCTTAAAAGAAGGTCAAGGTCATTTTCATTCTCAAACTTTGTTCGGCTCTTTCCTAGGAAGCTACAAGCCAAATATAGAGATTATATACCTTTCAGTTCTTCAGAAGAAGTCGTTTGAAGTGTCTGACACATTTGACTCCTGTGACCTTGAAAGAAGGTCAAGGTCATTTTCATTCTCAAACTTTGTCGGGCTCTATCCAAGGAAGCCATCAATCAAAAATAAAGATTCTATACCTTTCAGTTCTTCAGAAGAAGTCATTTGAAGCTTTTGACATATATGACCCCTGTGACCTTGAAAGTAGGTCAAACTAGTTTTCATTCTCAAACTTTGTTGGGCTCTATCCCAGGAAGCCACCAGCCAAATATAAAGATTATATACCTTTCAGTTCTTCAGAAGAAGTCGTTTGAAGTGTTTGACACATTTGACCCCTGTGACCTTGAAAGAAGGTCAAGGTAATTTTCATTCTCAAACTTTGTTGGGCTCCATCCAAGGAAGCCATCAGCCAAATATGAAGATTCTATACCTTTTAATTCTTCAGAAGAAGTCGTTTGAAGTTTTTGACATATTTGACCCCTGTGACCTTGAAAACAGGTCAAGGTCATTTTCGTTCTCAAACTTTGTAGGGCTCCTACCAACGAAGCTTTCAGCCAAATATCATGACTCTAGGCCTGTCCGTTCTTCAGAAGAAGATGTTTAAAGGAAAAGTTGACGGACGGACGGACGGACGGACGGACGGACAGACGGACGCCGCGCCACGGCATAAGCTCACTTGGCACTTCGTGCCAGGTGAGCTAATAAATGTACTTGATTCTGTCAAGGACAGCAAGTACCTTGGTGTTACAATAAGCAATGATCTTGATTGGGGGCCCCATATTAACAATATAACTTCCAAGGCAAATAAATTTTTAGGATTTTTACGTAGAAACATGAAAAACTGTACACGTAAGGTTAAAAACCTTACGTACACATCACTTGTGCGTCCGATCGTCGAGTACGCCTCACCAGTTTGGGATCCTTACAAACAAAACCAAATTAACCAAATTGAGCAGATTCAGCGCAAGGCAGCAAAATATGTGTTTAATGACTACAGTGATAGATCACCAGGTTCTGTCACTGGTATGATAAACCATCTTAAATGGGAGAACTTACAATCACGCAGAACAAAGGCAAAGCTTGTTCTAATTTATAAGATTAATAGGGGGTTGGTTGAAGTGACTAATGACGTCCTGACACAGTCTGACAGGCGTACTAGAGGCCAACATAAGTTTCGGCATATATATACACGTAAAGACTATTTTAAGTCTTCTTTTTCCCCAAGCACTATTGCAGCTTGGAATGATCTTCCTGAGGCAATTTGCATGTCACCCTCCCTAGAATCCTTCAAAGGTGGTATCTCCACCTTTACATTTGGAGGATCCTGTCTGGCTAATTAACTATAAGTGTATTTAAGCCACTGTACATAATGTGAATATGTTTAACATAAGCTACAACTAATGTTATTTTAACGGTTGGACTGTGGCAAATATTTTACTCATATTATAATTTTCGACCTCCATTTTCATGTACATAGCGCCACAGTTCCGGGATATTTCACACTCCGGCACCGGAGTCTTTCCCGTAAACGGAAGAAGAAGAAGATAAACTACAATTACTGTACATGCACTTTCGAAAGTTCAACGTACCTTCCCACGTGATGAGGCTTGACGGGGTATTTCGAACCAAATCCGATCTCGTAGCTGAAGTTATGATTGTTTTCCCCAAGGGCGTAGTCTATCTGCGACAGAGCCCAAGTCTTGTAGTCAGCTCCACCTATCCCATCCTCAGAGGCCATGAGAGCGACAAAAGCGGCATTAGCTGGTGAAAAAAACATCTGGGTTCAACAAAACTTACATATATAATACCATAAAAATATAATGTCGCCCTTATACTAAATCACAGAAGACATTGGTCAGCTGATGTTTACAAAACGTGAAACGGAAAGTGCACTGGCTGTTGATGTCAACAATGCTACTTGGACGCGGTAGCATAGTAAAGTACATTTGTTTCCTTCCTAACAGAAATGCTGACAACTAACCGTCTGCATTTCTACTGGTATTTTCAAACCGATTGCATGGTATTCAAAAGATCTTTTGATATCAATCTTTAACATCCTCTTCTACAAAATGTGTTTAACTGCAAAACATTTTTTTTTATATTTTAACCCTTTACACTACCATACGCCGTACTGAACTGAAGAAATGCTTTCGTTCTCCAATAATGAGATTTATTTTCCAAAAAAGACGAACGGCGACAACAAAACCTTAACAGAGTCCTTCAGTTTCATATATAGATATATCGCCGATGAACTTTGTTTAATGGCTAACTAGTATTGTTCACATCAATCGTACGTGTATATACCTTACTGAACTTGAAATAAAGAGACATTAAAGACACTTCTATTTCAGTGGCTTTCATCGATCTACTCTTACAACATAAACAACAGGGAAGGCTTATTACTAGGTTGTACAATAAGCGGGGCACAATTTCGTCTTCCTGATCGTGAACTTTTCCTTTTTTGATAGTAGCATCCCTGCGTCCTACGATGTTTAAATGGCGGAGTTGAATCGGTATTCTAGAGCTTGCCCCGAATATAATGACGTTCGTAATATATGTTATCTGCTGAAGGACAAACTAATTAGACATGGTTTCCAAAGACGCAGGTTGAGGATGACTATGAACAAACTTTATGTTCATCATCATGATCTCGCAGGAGATATGCTATTTCTTTATGTCATGTGAATAAGTTTTATGCCTATGCTCATTGATGTGTTTTGTGATTTTCTTTTTCACTTTCCAAGTTCTCGATGTGGAGATGTGACATTACTTAGAGTTGTCGGGTGTCGTCGATAAAGTAGAAAACGCTTAACCTTTCCTAACACTTGTTCCTTTTATCCATGTACTTTTTAAAGGGTCTTCATGTAAATTGTGCCTTGTTCATATTTTGAATTCTGGTTTTGTTGAAAATTTTATATTCATTTGTTACTTCAAAAAAAAAGCATTCTCAAGTTATGTCGTGCATGGGTTCTAGCTTTCTATTTTCTTATATACTTTTGTTTTATCTGCAAGGAGGGTTGACGACGAATGATATAATATTGTATCCTTCTTTTTACAAATTGCCTATTTCAAAAATAATGAATGCGTGTTACCTGCAAATGCTAGAGAGCCCCACTTGGCCCTGAAGACAAGACCACAGGGAGTGTAAGGTACATTTCCTCCGGGCATGTAGTTATGCAGGAAGTGCTGCACGCTTGTCTTGTACTTGGCCTTACCGGTGAGCTCCCATAGTAGGACCTAAATAATGATTTCACAATTTATCCGCCTGCATCAGATCTGCGTAACGATAACGTAAGTACATTCAAACATATGTCCCTATTCTATTGACAGCATGGTTAAAGGTAACAAGTATAACGTTTGAATCATTAAAAAAGATAAATAACATGTATAATCTAAAGGAGCTTCACATTCCAGAGCTTGAGGCATTTTTCTGAAAAAACGCTTTAATATTAATCTCCAACAACCATGATATGTTTTCTCACTCCCGACTCATTGCATACACTTGCAAGGAGTAAGTAAACCTTTTTGGTTGCCCACTAGTAGGCAAAACCCTAGACGTTATTTCAAAGGTCAATCTTATAATGATGACGTCCAGCAGCAACGTCACAGTTCATGGTTTTCTTCATATATATAAGCATTGTAAGATAACAAGGTCGCCAAACTCATGATGGTTGGTTTATCTAGCTCAAGTTATTTAAATTTCAAATGGTATAAAGACACCAGGTTTACGTTCAACGTTTTGAAACCTGGATCTACTCACCTTTTTGTCGAAAATCCGTGTCCTTTCTTCAGAATTAATATATCACTTTTCTATATACATAGATCAGTGTATTTAATAATCTGAGCCTGTACCAAGTAGCACGTATCAATAAATTAATTAGTCCGGGTTTTCTACCAGACAAGTTTCAATCTACGCTGTAGAAAGATTACGGTTATAATACATGTAACTTAGTTTCTACATATGAGGTTTCAGTGTTAACGACGATTAAGTGACCTAGATCGTCAGTTTCATGGACACTTTGCTGGATACGACGGACGACACCTTGACCGATTGTGACTGAATCTAACGCAGAAACCATTGATACAAAACAATGTTATGTTTTGTTTGCAACCACGCACTCTGGCCTGATGGGCAAAATTCTCACCAAAATGATGAATACCCTACTTTAATTTTATTGAAACCACAATATAGTCTATAAAGGAAACAGTCATCGATATGAATCAAGACGATTAAATAAATGTTCTATTGTATATGGAGAAAACAGTACATTAGTGTATAGTCGGTGATTGTGTTTTCTTAGCTTGTAGTCGGGCTTACGGCCTCGGAATGGACCCGGAATCAATTAGTATGTGATGCTGTGTTGATCTAGACATATGCCACCTACCTGACAGGATATTTGTTTATCGTCCCAAGAGAGCGCATAAGCCGTATCGGAATCGTAGAACTGCTGAGCGTCGGTCAGATAGTGTGTCTCGTTAGTGGCCTTGTAGAGCCAGGCGGCGGCTGTACATAGCTCGTCTTCATAGCCACTGGATCTGCCACAGACGAACACAATGAGGGACGATAAATATCAGTAGAACCTCTTTAAATGTTATACAGACACATTAACCATCTATATTGCACCTACATGATTACAAAGTAAACGTTTTAATAGAACTACTGGGTGTGTGAAATAAAGATATATCATCTCTAAAATCACTGTACCTCAGACAAAAATAAAACATAATTATACGTCTGAAGGAAAACTGGTCTAGCGATGGAGACTGTAAAGATTTATTACTTATTCTGGAACAACTGGATCTGTGACAGACCTGATGACAGTGTCTACTGTACAACACTGGGTGTGCGAGAGAAAACACGGAACCGTACATGATCACTTTAGGGTACCATTGTGTGAGGCAAATTGTCTGAGGAATCGATACATACTCAGACAATGACTGATATAATACTTATATCTGAACCAGCATGTCAGGATAAACAGAGAGAGCAGTTTTAGGTAACTGAGTTCACTTATCACACACGAGGATATTGTGTTATAACTACGCCTCGTTTGCTGACTCTCTCTCTCTCTCTCTCTCTCTCTCTCTCTCTCTCTCTCTCTCACGTTTAAAAAATGTTTTAAACTGGAAAGCAAAGACAAAGGTTTCTTGGTTTCCATTAAAAATGTGAAATCATATCGAAATCATTCTGAAAGTTCGAAAATCACAGACTGGATGGAAATGTCTTTGTGATAAATTATTTATCAGTAGTTTTTGTTATATTTTTTGTTCATTGTTTTTCTTATTATGAAGCATCACGTTTCCAATGTTTAAGTAAAAAGGAAATAAGATTCTAGCAAAGTTTTTCGTGTTACGCTCAAATAATTGTTTTGTCCTTGAATAAATCCGAAGACCACTTTCATCTCATTAACCATTCAGAACTTGTCCTTACTTATATAATACATAATCTTTTCTTCGGTACCACATCCTCAACTTTATCTACATATGACGATAATACTAAACAACATCGTACACAATTATAAACGTAACTGGTATATTAAGGAGGTACGGTAGTCTAGTGGTAGGACGCCGGGTCCTGACCGACGGGTTGCGGTTTCGAGTCACGGCACGGCAGTGTGTTGTATCTTTTAGCAAGATACTTTACTCCGCTTGTTCCAGTCTACTCAGCTGTAAATAAGTACGTGTTTGGACAGTGATAGATTTGTTGAATGCCAGCTGTGAGCGCCGAAATGGCTGCACCGGCTGTATGCTCCCCAGGGAGTTGAGAAAGATATTGGCTGGTTGGAAAGGCCCTATAACCACAGATAATGATTTGTGAACCGCTTTGAGACGAGCTACGAACTAGGTTGTGATAAAGCGGCATATAAAAACCTCGAATTATTATTGTTATTAATTATTTCTTAGCTGTAACATACCAGTCCCCTCCCTTAAGAAGGACAAAAATCAACAAGAGAATACCAAAAGGTCAACATAACCATAATTCGAACTCAAAATCAATAGCACTAGGGCAAACTATGGACAAATGAAATGACTACATGGAGACCCTTAAATAGTACAATGATAATTTGACCAGGTGTTCTGGAAGGCTAAGTTTTTTTCTGCGTCATCGATGACATCCGCCATGAATATCTTAGCCGAATCCAAGTAAAGTCACGCCCTCGCATCGAGAACTCGGGTAGTGACAACAAAACCACAAGGCACTCTAATGAGCATGAGAAAAAACATCGACCTTCATATCACAGAGAGAAAAAGTAGAGTTCTGATGGCGACTATTGAACATGTCCAGAATCTCCCTCAACCTGCATCTTTGGAAACCCTGTGTTGTAACTTTGTCCGTCAGCTGTCATCGAAGTCAGGATATTCGGAGCAAGCCCTGCATTAGATGGGCGAAACAGGGATGTTGCTTTCGAGAAAGGGAAAGTTCACGAACGGAAAGTCGAAATCGCCTCGCTTATCGTACAGCTTAGTAGTGTAAGCCGTCCATGTAGGTAATGTTGCTAATAGATATTGAAGAAAGCGGTGGAAGTAGAGGAGTCTGTGGTGTCCTTAACTTCATGCTCTCGTGAGTACATACGATCGATGTGGTTAATTAACTTTTTGTTATTCAAAGACAGCTTATTGTCGTTATACCTGAATATGAAATTGGAGGACTTTGGTAGGATTTCGTTTCCATTCCTGATTAAGTATACAATATCACACTAATACTGCATCGAAGTTAATATGTTACAGTTCTTGTGCTACTTTTATCATATTTTCCAAGTGTCCTGCTTCCATAAATATTGTATTCTGTTGACCAATGAACTAATTCCCTTCGGTTTGTTACTCGAGAAGCATTAATCTACGTCAACATTTTTTAACAGTCTCGGTTATCAACTTCGAGATTCCTGTGTCTGCTATAAATAAAGTTTGTTTGTTTGTTTGTTTGTTTGTTTATGTTTAACGGCCCATCGACGGCTGTGGTCATTTAGGGCCATGGTGATTTATTTATTCACTTTACTTTTTTAACAAACATGTGAATAGCGAAGATAAAATCAGATAAAATGGTTCATTTTAAAAGTATTCGCATTGTATGTGTAGATAATTAAAAATAATAAAAGGGGGTTAAAATAATAAAAGAGATAACGAATAGATGATATGGAATATGCGATATATATATAACGTCAAAAAGGATAAGGTGGGTTAAAAGACATCAGAGTCTATAAAATAGACCGATGTCTTTCAAATAGTTAAATAATGCCTTCGAATCCACGGAACTGAAAAGTGTTTTCATATCCGGGACTCGGAAGTAGTTATCACGAATGTGTTTAAAATCGGAACATTCTATTAAAAAATGCTCCACTGTAAATGGAGTGTCACATGCGTGGCATGAAGGTATATCTTCTCGTTTTAAAAGGTACGAATGAGTAGGATATGTGTGCCCAGTGCGGAGCCGAGCGAGGACAACTTCCTCTCTACGATCTTTCCGACTGGGAATAGATGTTTTAAGTTTCGGTTGTATCTTAAAAAGTTTGTTGTTGGTCTCCAGAGACCAGCGTTTCTGCCATTCATTTTGAATGGCTGTACGAATAGTAGGTTTAAAATCTGTGTATGGTAGTTTGATATTTGTTTGTTCGAGATTCAATGCATTTTTTGCTTCCCTGTCAGCAAATTCGTTGCCTTTTATTCCGACATGGCTCGGAATCCATAGTAAAGTTATTTTAGACTTTTTTAATATACGAGATATTCGATGAGCAAGGTTTTGTACGATTGTGTTTTTAGGATCTCGTAACTGTAAACTCTGTAGGACAGATAGAGAGTCTGAACAAATAATTGCCTTTTTAATGCGGTGTTCATCGATATGGTCGAGGGCCAAACCAATGGCGCATGCTTCAGCAGAAAAGATGGAGGCGCCGTCTGGTAGTCGGACTGAAGTGCAAGTATTGGCAGTACAGCAGGCTGCTGCCACTTTCTCACCTTCTTTGGAGCCATCGGTGTAAAGTTGTGTATGAGAAGGGTAATTCGAAATGCATTCCCGAAAGGAGGATTTGTGTTCTTCGGGCATAACACTTGATTTCCCTCGCTCATGTAATGTAAAGTTAAAATCGGGGGTTTGAATGGTCCACGGAGGAACATCAGATATGTTAAATTCAGCTATGTCCGTCAATTTTATGTTGAGTTCTTGCAGGAAATTCAAAATTCGGATACCAAATGTTGGCAGAAGTTTTTGGTTTTGCGTAAATATGTTTTGGTATTTGGGGTTGAATACTTGGTTGAAAGCAGGATTTTTAGGGTTTGATTTTAATTGAGTTGCAAATTGTAATGAAAGTTTTATTCTTCTGTCATAAAGGGATGGTTCATTTGCTTCCACGTACAGGCTTTTTACAGGTGTTGTTCGAAAAGCTCCCAGGGCAAGACGTAGCCCTTGGTTATGGATTGGATCTAGCATCTGAAGGTACGAACTGCGCGCTGACCCGTATACCATAGAACCATAATCCAGTTTTGTTCGAATAAGTGATCTGTATAGGCGCAAAAGCATTTCACGATCCGCTCCCCAATCAGTATGAGAAAGGACTCGTATAATGTTTAACGCCTTGGAACACTTATCCTTCAGATACTTTATATGTGGTATGAAAGAGAGTTTCGAATCAAAAATGAGGCCGAGAAATTTAGTCTGTTCAACAACAGGAATTCTAGTGCCATCGAGTGTTAGATTTGGGTCATTGTGTGCTTTTCGTTTTTGACAGAAATGCATGCACACAGTTTTGGATTTAGAGAATTTGAAGCCGTTTTCGTCTGCCCAATTTTGTAGTTTGTTTAAACTCTGTTGAAGTTGTCGTTCTATCGTGTGCATGTTCTTAGATCTGTAACAGATCAAGAAGTCATCCACAAATAACGACCCTTCTGTTGATTGACCAAGACATTTGACTATATCATT